TAGAAGTGGAGGATAGGGCCAGAGTGGCAGACGACGGAGTCCAATGATGGGAGAAAAAAAATACTATGATGGGAGAAATCGTCGTCTTCGTCGTCTACCGTCCTATCTATGTCTTCGTCGACGTTCTCGAAGGCCTATGTCATCACATTTGAACTCGTCGTCTTCGTCGTCTACCGTCCTATGTCTATGTCCCCGGTCCTGAATTTGACCTTAAGCTTTGTTCCTGCATCCATTGGTCCATGTAGGTAGTCCTTGAACCCTATTCCTTCCTTCAACATTCCGTACACTTCTAGACCCTCCTTATCCTTGGATTCTTTCCTCAGATTCTGTTCTTCTCTCTCGGCACAAGCAACAGATATCTTCTCCTTGAACCCCTGTAGACCCTCCGTTTCCAGCGTTTCATCTTCGTCGATGTCGAGCCCCTTCCATACGTCCTCGACAACCTTGACCCATTCCGTGGGTTGCCTACCCCACTTTTTGTTTGTCCACTTCGCCTCCCATACAATCCTCGGCAACCTCTCCTTACGGTGTCGTATGCCTTTTTCACGTCCAGGAAGAAGCAGTACGTCGGTTTTCCCGCCCTCTTTCTACCTTGGACGATTCTCTCTACCGTGAATACGTGGTCTCTTCTTTCGGAAACCTGCCTGGCCCTCACTAATGCTATGTTCCTTCTCCAATACTCCCACTATCCTATCGTGCAGCCGCTTACAGAACACGTTTCCTACTGTGTTCAACAGTGTGATCCCCCTGCAGTTTCCTGGGTCAGTCTTGTCTCCTTTCTTGAACAAGTTCACAACCACTCCTTACCTCCATTTACTTGGCGAATACTCGTTTTTCCACACCCCATTGTACAGCGATACCATCAGCTGGATCATCCCCTTGTTTGCGGCCTACGCCACTTATTTATCGGGTGAGACTGTTTTGGTGATGTATTAACTTCACGAGAGGTAGACGACAGTCCGTCGCATGGACGAAAGAGGGAGTGGTCAACGAGCGGCTCCCACAGCAAGGAGGGGCCGCGTGAATCATCGCGGTACCCCCTACCAAACGGCAATCTTACCAGTCTGCGTGACCCCAAATCATCCAGCACATGTATCCAACACCAATGTTCGCAGACCCACGAACACCCTCCCTGGTTCTCCAAGCAAGTGACTAACCATCAATGGGGCAAGAACGCCCCTAGATACATCAGAAAATACCAACATGGTAATATATGGGGGGGAAACCCGGCGTCCGGGCAAAACCCCTAAAAAAAAAAACTACCACCACAATAACCGTCGCTATCACAGCGGATCACAACAGCCGCACTTACTAGAAAGGCCAAGGCGAAGACAAGAAGGCGAGGAACTACGTTCCCCCGGACGATGGTCTCCTAACGCCCCCTACTCCTGCCATTGGTACACAGACCGCAACAGTTATGCGCCTTGCCCCGCATGTAAAATATAACCTCTCCCAAGTGCTAGAAACTGCTACAGCTACTCCGGCAAATCCATCAGCTTGCGCCGGTGGTACTGCAGACTGACCCTGCTAAGGGCCTTGGTAAGGAGGTCCCCGTGTTGCTCCGTTGTCGGAAAAAACTTGACCGTAATATCCCCCGACCTAAACAATCCGCGGATGAAATGGAACCTCACGTCGATGTGCTTCGTGCGACCTGAGCTGAGGGGGTTGTGCACCAACGCTATGCCCCCCTGGTTGTCCTCAAGGACCTGGATGCTGCGACCACTGGTCCCTGGGGCAACAAACGAAAGCACAGCACGCACAATCAATGCCTCCTTGACGCCNCGCCTCCTTGACACCCTCCCCGGCAGCAATGTACTCGGCTTCCGTTGAAGACAAAGACACGATACTCTGCGTCTTGCTACCATGGCTGACTACGGTACCTCCAACCGTCGTCGCCAACCCTGACACCGAACGCCTATCCTCCGTGTCGGCGTAGCTAGCGTCTACATACACGGCCAGCTACCCCGATTCCCGTTGGTAGGTGATGCCGAGGTCCCTCGTCCCTTTCAAGTAGCCAAGGATCTTCTGGATGGCATCCCAGTGCCTCTTTGCCGGGGCGTGGGCGTGGCGCGCTACCGCACGCACGGCGAACGAGACGTCTGGACGCGAGAACGTCGACACCCACATCATGCTGCCGATGGCCTCCCTCACCAGCCACTCCCCTCCCTTCTCGTCATCTCACTTCGGTCCTAGGTCGACACCAGGGGAAGCAGGGATGCGGGAGGTCGATTGTACATCAAAGCGTTTCACCATGCTATCAATGTACATCTCTCTCAATGGCGCACCCGTCAAACCATTCGCATTCTCCAAGAGTTTTGGCGAGAAATTTCTTGTTGAGAGAAGCAAGCAACTCCTCGCAATCCTCGTCAGACCCAGCCACCAAAATGTCATCCACATAAATCACGATAATCATCACCACGACTTCGTCTACCATCTTGCAGAAAACACACGGGTTCGCCTTGCACTGTTCGAACCCGTTCTCGACTAGGGTGTCAGCAGCGTGGTACCCCCCCTGCCTACCGCTCTGCTTCAGACGGTAAATCGCACGCTCAGCCTTAACAATCTTATGCGAATTGTCCCCGCACCCAGCGGGGAGCCTCAGAAAAACCTCCTCGTCTAGCGTGGCGTGTGTGTACGCCTGCTTCACATCCCAGTGATTGAGGTTCATGCCCTTCTCGTTTGCTACCGCAAACATCAGTTTAATGGATGCGGATGATGGGCAAGGGGAAGACGAATGGAAATGATCGACGTTCGGGATTTGCGAAAAACCCCTAGCCACCAGACGCTCTTTGAACTTTTCTATCTTCCCTTCCTTGTTGATCTTCCAACTAAAACACCACTTTGAGCTCACAGGCGTGCTCCCCTCTGGCGTGCCGTCTACGAATGAAAACGTCCTCGTGCCCAAGTGCCCTTCAAACTCTTCCCTCATGGCCTGTTCCCACCCCTCTCGGTAAACAGACTTGGCAACGCCGGCTACAGTCATGGGTGGGGCTTCTACATCACTCGGACGCTTGCCTATGGGGGATTCACTTAGCTCGTGGGACGCCA